AGCAGTGGAAACTGGGCACGTAACAGTAGTCCTTGAGGTGGAAAAGGCAATGGCTTCACCACATATTCATCCCCACTACCCATCAACTCAATAAAACAATCCAGAAAGAGATTCCAGTGCAAATTGTGGGCCTGTTTTTCCTGTCCCATTCTTCTTTGACATCTGTAGGGAACAGGAGGAGGTCCCTCATCATCTAAACTTGCAAAGAAAAACAGCAAGGAACTGACTGCTGTTGCTAGACTTTAAACTATTTCAGGAAGTCACACACATTACACCTCAAAATGAATGTTGCCTTTTCTCTTGCTTCCCCCCACCCAACTCTCCAGCCCTGAAGTTCAAAGAGGATACATTGCCTCTTTGCCTTCCAGCTTTGCCAAGTCCAGAAAAAAATTGAAAAAAAAATTTAAAAAGCGTACATTTTTTTCCCTCCCAGTATTTGTAATACTGTCAGAATTTCTAAGACAGAACTCTTGAGATATTTCCTGAACTATACTGTCCTGATAAGAAAGTGAACAGTGGCAGCTATTACTGTGTTCCCTCCCATGCAGTTTTCCTATTGCATTACAAATTCATTGACAAATTGAGGAGCTAGCTCCACAAGAGCAGCAATAATACATAGAACTGTCACAAGAGTGAAATTTATTAAGAGAAAGAAATGCTGCTGGACTATAAAGATGAGGAAAAAAACCCATCACATTTAATTCAGCATCCCAGCACAGAAACTACAACCCTACTATTTTAAAGCAATATGTAAGCACAGTCCATTCAGCACTTTTACGGTGTCTCAAACTTCAAATCAGCAAGGTACACACTTAAAGGTCTTGCCAAATTGTGACATAATCCTAATGTCTCCAGTGCCAGCATGTTAAGCCCTCTCACATGGCAAGGAAGAACACTCAACACCTCAGGATCAAGTTCAAAAAGTCTGGAGAGAAGCAGCAGCGCAGGGAGGGAGGCCTGAACTTCAGAGTGGCATGCACATCCCAGCACTCCCCCTCCCCTTTCACACGCAGATCCATGTGGTCTCCACCTGACAAACCTACATTTACAATGGTCGTTGCCTGAAAATTAAACTGTTTCTTAGTCATGTGTTTATGTCTTTGTTTCCATTTAGCTGGTTTGTCTTTCAGACAGGGATGTCTGAAAACAGGGGTAACAGAAATAGGTTATAAGAGCCTTAGGAAATATTACAGAGGGATTCTGGGTGCACAGAGCAGAAAGGCAACATCTCCAGGCAACATCTCCAAGCAATAGCTGGGATCTGGCAACCCAGGCCCCAATCCTGCACTCAGTCCCACCTAAGTACGTACTGACGCTCGCTGGAGTCACCAAAGGCTGGGCATGGGGCCTGACCCAGCTCTAGCCCATCGCAGGACTGAGGCTGTCAAGGGTAATCTTGCAGCCCTTATTCAGGATTGGATCGTGCTCACCTTTGCTTCAACTAAAGTCCTTATTATGCAAGTCAGACCCAAGCCCCAGGCCAGAAATGGGGTTTCCCAAACACCTTGCAGAGCGCTACGGCTAGACACGTCCATGTCATTTCCGAGTTCAGATTCTTACCCAGGGAGCAGCCAAGCCTGAATTCGCGCATGCTGAGCACGTGCAACTTCTTACAGAATTCAAGAGCTGCAGCTGGAGTCTGGTAATGCCCACAGCAAATCTTAGGTTAGACAAACAGATTTTGATGTCAACAGGAGTTGAAAATTTTAGCGCTTTCCTTTAGGTGCTCAGCAGACAGATCAGGCCAGGTGAGAACATTTTGTTTCCACGAGTCACACATTTTTATGAAACTGACATTTCTTTCCTGAATGTTGATGCTATAAGTTACCACCCTTGAAAGGGCTTAGCTGAAAGTCCTGTCTCATGAGTTAAAATAAAAGTATACTCATATTTATGAGCACTATGAGGGCCTGAAACACAACCCATAGGGGGCTGTGTTCAATAGCTTCAATGGATCACAGATGAGGCCCAAACTCATGTCTGATTTAAATCCGTAAAGAGTATTCGGTCCATTTTGAAAGAATGGATGGGTTGGACGTGCAATTCCTGTAACCCCAAGCTTTGCTCCATGCTAAAGGTGTTTGCAAGTTTCTGACAACCAGCACAGCACAAAGTCAACTTTAGAAGCAAGGAAATGAAAACACCCCTACTACAATCTAACACCAGGAAAAATATTTGGCTGAAACTTTAGGTGTGAATTATACTTACTTAAGCTAGAACAGAAGGCCAAAAACATCAAAATCTAGTAATGTGAAAACAATGAAGGTTTAGCTCTTTAAAAAGAAAGGAAAGATAGACACTTGAGGTAACAAACAAAAAACCCAAAATGCACAAACACATCACAGACATCTAAAAATAGCATTTTATACATTTTTTTTGCCAGTGCTTCTCTGAGAGCAAGTTCTTTAAACAGAACTTAACAATTTTACAATTTTTTTTTAAAAAAATATGTCATCCTAAAATAGCCCATCAATCCTTACCCAAACTTTCTGTATTTCTACAAAAATAGATGCACAAAGAGCTACAAAATACTGTATTCCTGAAAGGAGGCGCACTGTAGTCAAGGGAGAGTCTTTTTCCTGACACTTGAGACTGTTCATAAAAATATCAAGCTGAACAAAACAAAACACTGTTAAAGAAGCAGAAAGGAGTTAGGTTGCCCAGCTGCAGCAGGCTCAGATGAGGAAAGAAAGAAAAGTTAGGGTTTTGGTTTTTTTCCAACACTGTGGGACCCATAAACAGCCTTACAAACAAAAGGCTCAATAGCAAATCCAGAATGGCTGGCTCTTCATCTTCATGTGTGTCCTTTGCCCCATGTAGAAGGAGCCAACAACTGTTATATCGCCTGCCCAGCTGCGCAGACTCCAGCTCTAGTTGGTTTTAACGTATCCGAACTTCAGAACCAAGAAGTTTCCTTGCTCTTGTCCTGATGCTGCAGACCTACATTTCAGAAAAGAAAAAAACAATTTAAAATTTGATACAGCTTTTTCCTCCCCCTCCTCAAGCAACTAAAGTAAGGATAAAGAGTTTTCAACTAAAAAAAAAAAAAAAAAAAAAGAAGAAAAAACCCAACAACTTGCCAGCCTAGTGGACTTGTTAGTAACATTGCTATTACTCCCAATTTTTTAGTTTATGTGGGATAACCTTAAGCCACGCTTAAGTTTTAGATTGGTTCAAGCAGTTCAGGAATGCTGATAGAATCCTGTGTGCACTTCCTTGTTTTGACCTCATTTGGAGCATGGCATGGTGTGATAAAATCCTCCAGCAAGGTCTGCATAGATATTCAGTACAGAACAAAATCATTTTTCCTGATAGGGGCCAGCCACAGACCCCTACCTCTTTTAGAAAGGGCCTGTGACACTTTAGGATCTCACAGGTTCTGGCATTTCACCTTACAGAGGAGAGAGAGAAAATGTTCCCGCAGCATGTAAAAAACCCAAATAATTTCACCTACAAAGTGTCAGATTTTTAGCCAAGTATGGCTAGTACTTCCACATGGGAAAAATCAATGATTTTCAGCTTGCATTTGTTATGAGTTCCTTTAACATTTTCCTTTATAAAAAGCGAGGACTGTCTAATAAATGTGGTGCTATGTTGTGTGGCTTTAGCATTATAGACTTGGAACCTGTGTTATAATCTGGGATTTCTCTGCTCCAGAGGGATTCAATCTTTGATAAGACAATAGAGGGAGAGGTGTGGATGAAACTTCCAGAAGAAGATACATTCTTGCTTATTTATAGGGAAAGTAAAAAGGAGAGAAGTGCAGGCACACATTTTCAGAGGTAGTGCAGCACTTGGAACTTACTGATTAAAACCTGCCCCTTGATGTTTTGAGCCAAGTAAATCACGTTTTGTGAAATGAAGGTGCACTTCCCACTGTAAATCACCATTGCTATATAGACAGGAATGTTCCACTCTGTTTCATACTATATACTGCCCTGCTATACACTGTACCAAGACCAATGGATCAACTACTTGATCTGCTAAGAATTTAGAGCCAATTTCACTACTAATGTAAGTAGATGCAACTCCAGACTTCAATGATGTTGCAACCATTGAAGCTGCATGTTCATTTGATCTTTAATCTATGAAAACTGACAGGTCCATGTGCTAAGCATGGATCTCCCATTTCCATATCCAATCACATAGGAAACACAATGGAAGACCTGTAAGTTTTCAGAAAGCCTAATAGGCATGATGGGTTCAGATCTGATCACTATCTCCTTGTTTTAAGAGTACAGTTAAATATTTAATGATGATCAACATAATTTCAGAGTTGAGCTACAATGCAATTAACAGCCACATAAAAGATGACAGCATATGGCTCTACCCATATGAGGATTCCTAAGCAGTGATCAAACACTTTTGTGTCCATCAGTAACAGGGGAAGCAGAGCACACAGGTATAGCATGACAAACCCATGGCTTTCTCCTCCATTTCATAGGCATTTGCACCTATTTCTTTAGATTGGAAAAACCGGGACATCACTCAGCTAAAGCATGCCTATAAAAACATGTTCAGAGGCTCTTTACCCAATTAAGATGTTTCCTTGTTTCTTAAGAGTTACTTATTTTCCTGGTAGCATCATTCACAGGCACAGCAATCATAAAGCATTTCCTTCAAAGCTCTCTCAAAGTTAGTGATGACAATTTTGTGTTATTTTTCCCCTGCTGATTACAATTTTTTTTAAAATGAAGATGACAAAAAGGGAAAAAAAAAAAAAAAAGAGGGAGTCAAACAGCAGAAACTTTTCAGATTGTAAGGAAGTCATTTAAGTTCAGTGGAGCACTACAGGCCATCAGAGGCAATGGAAGCCTATGAGAAAAGAAACAGGTTATATGGCTCCTAGCATCTTAAAAAAAATGCACACCTGTTTAAGAGGATGTCCACCTGATAGTAGCAACTATTAGAAGTAGAATAACCAGCTGAACAGACACCTTCCTAGTTAGGTGTCTTTGCAAAAAATAGAAATAACTGTAACAAGAAGATTTAAGGTATAGCTATTAAGTCTAAACAGCCAGAGAAAACAATCCAAAAAAACAAAGTTGTCTTAGTACAGAACTGAATGTGGAACACTTCCCATGCCTTTTCCTCATTACGTTCCCATCTCCATCATGGCAAGGCTATCTGCAGTCATAATATGACATCCAAGTACAACCCTGCTACTAATCAAGAGCTTTCACGCGCAGCCTGCTGCAAGAACATTTTTCTCTTAGCAAGGACATCCTACCTCACTTGTGTTGCATGAGGCAGTATTGTCACACCAGCACAACTCCCAACCTATGGGATACCGACATTATAGCTAATTGCCACACAAGCAGAATGCAGGTTCTGTGGGAACATCTAAGCAAACTTAATGAATTGTGACAAACTCGTGGGGAGTTTGTGAACAGAGACAACTCTACAGAAGGCAGCAGACTGACTGCTCAAATTCTGTATTCAACGTGACAAGCTGACATACAGGTATTTCCAAAAGTGGACTTTCCATAGTTAGCCAGGAGTAGAGGATGCTGATTAATTCACCTAAATTTGCATGATAAATGATGTGCAGCTCAATTTTAAGGTAGACGTACAGTCCTCAGATATGCCAAAAGCCTGCCCTGGTTTTAGTGTGCTGGGGCTGCAGGAAGCCTCCTCTAGCACATCTGTCCAACAGCAGGACAGGATATTCTCCTGGGCTCTGCAGTAGCAGGGCAAGTTGCTCTGCTCTCCTCCCCACGGGGCTGCCCACAGACCTGGCAACTGGTAGTGCAGCCAGATCCGACTTATCACCTGAAATGCCCAGTGTTCAGGGCAGCCTCCCACCCTGCTCCTGAGGAAAACATGATGGCCATAACCATCAGCTCCACTGCAAGACAGCAATTTCCCTCCCCACCCCACTCAACTTGGCTTGTGCACCCTTAAGGTAAATACAAGGACTTAGCCCTGACACTGTGGGATTATGGCTGCAGCAACACTTTCTGTACACATGCTGTGAACCACAGTCAATGCTGTTAGAAGCTGAACTTGCTTTGCTTGACATCAGTGGGGCAGGGAATTGCAACCTAAAGCACAAACATGCTGTGCTTATATCAATGTGTTTATATTAATGCTTGATATAAAACATAATTTTATATTAAGCATTATAGTTTAGGCACTTCAGCTTTGGAAAGACACTGCATACCAGCAGCCACAAACAAAAAAGGTTTTAATAGGTTTTGATGTAGACAAGCATTTTCTTTAATCCCACTTGTACCAATAAAGCAGCTTCTAAAAGGGTTAATTTGCAGCACACAGTATGAGGATTAAGCCACATTTAATGGGAATCAGGTAGCTAAATCCCTCTTCATCCTCTAAAACAGGACCATGTAAGTTCAAACAGATGTGCAAGACAGATCAATACTTTGTTAGGTCTATGAACAGTGATACATTGATGTCCCATACAATCTGTTCTGAAACATAAATTCCCAAACTATACTGTGCATGCAAGGGGAACCCCCTCTTAAGCTTTGAAATGATTCAGCATCATCCATTCATGAGATTGAATATTTGGCTTAGTATGGCAGAGATGCAACAATGTAGCTGGAAGAGGGTAAGATTACAGCCAGCCTGTCCTGATCCTAACACTATCATTCCATATAATTCAGCGTGAGGAATTTTGCAAATGTTTCTATAATCTCATCTGACAGTAGCACAAGAAATGTGACCCAGAGCAAGACGGGGGTGGGGGGGTGGGGGGGAGGGTAAGGAATCATTTTCGTATCTGAAGGGCTCTGAAAAATAATGTCTAGATATATACCAAATGAGCTTTTTTATATAAATCATCCGAAGATCATGGAATCTGATATATTGACAGCTCAATAGGTTGATGTCTTTTATTCTCCAGGGACATAAGAGCAAAGACTTCCAAAACTGAAATTTTCTTGCCATCATGTCCTTAACCTACTCTGGAGAAACCACTTCTACACCGCAGAAAGCCAGTACACTCTACCAGGCCCTTCAGTTTTTTAGCCTCTCTGTTGAGATTGCTGTCTCACATTAGAGTTAAATGTAATGAAATTCCGTCTGATGTGGAGACTTATCCAGTGTAATCCTCCCCTGGAGCAGACATGGAGCAAGAAAACCTTCACCTGTGCTGGTGAGTGCTGGATGCAACTCAGTGAGGTGTTTCAGGAGCTCCCTCCTTCCTCTCCCCATGCATTTGACATGCACGCAAAACACCACAGAATTAAACTCCCTCTTTTCACCACAGTTACACCTTGAATGCCTGTCACCAAAGCATCTGTCTCAAATGCACAAACTGCAGGCAAGGCTGGAAAGGGAGCTCAGACCCTTCCTGCCCTTCCCTACAAGCCTCTGCTTGGAGACTACAGGAGAGATGAGTGTGCAGGGTAAGGGAGCAAGCAATTGTAATGTTGCATGCTACCACTACTTGCTGTGTTTTGTTGCTTGCTCCCTTGTTTCCAAAGCTTTACGTGTCAAACTGGGGCTGCCTGATAAGGTTTTGCTGTTGCATTTCAGTACATAGTCATTTGAATAGTCACAAACAAGTGAGACATTAGCCTGCTGAGATCTTCTGTTCCTGCAAACCAGTCACACTTTTCCCCTCTTTCTCTTTCCCCACAGGAACTCATGGACTAAAACCCACACATAGGGCATACGCCAGAAACTAACAGTTCAGGCCTTTTCCGCTGCCTCCCACGCTGAGTAGACAGCTATGTGACATGGAAGCCACTGTTAAGCACTGCCAAATCAGGATCCTGACAAAATTAGCATCCTGACAAAATTAGCATCCAACTGTACCCCTTAACAGAGTTTTTCACAAGGAGGAGGCAGTACCAAACAAAGCCTGTATTAGTCCTGTAAGGCAGTGCTAGGACCCATAGTCCTTTTTGAGGTACTGTGCTCTTACAGGAAAGAGAAAAAGCACCTGGTTTATTAGGCATGCTACTGCCAACAAAGTAGCAAACCAACTTGCCCAGCACTGAAACAACTCACAGCCTAGGCTGGACTTATACCTAAGCCAGGTAGTGGTTTCTCCTAACAATCCCTTACGCAGTTCTTGGCTTCATCCCCAAAAAGGTAAGTGAAATACCAGAGCTCTGGAGTTGGACTGCTGAGGCTACTGTCAGACCAGGGTGCTCGGCCTCTTTACTGGTGGCAGTGACAATTTGCTCATGCTTCAGAGAAGAAAGCTCACTCTCGTTAAGGAATTTGTCAGAGGGTCAAAATTTGAGACCCCAGCCTTGCCAGATTGTAATTTTATACTCAAAATCATAAAATTTAATTCCTCTTGTATTACTGGCATGGCGGGAAATGTTATTAATAGACATAAAATTGTCCACTGTTAAGAATCCTATTATGCTTTTTCTTAATTTCTTGAGGCAGCAAGTGGCACGGTATTTAGAAGAGATTATTTGTTCCCAGTGGCTATTAAGGGAAGAGAGAGAGATTTGTATTAGGTTAGCTCAGTTATATTGGGTTTTGGGTTCACAATATTTCATCTTTAAGAAACAGTGAGGTTTTCTCCACCAATTCTTTGTTCCTCTGCGCATTAATCAAAACAAGGAAGTGCTTCTCACACACTGAACCAGTTAGCTAGACTTATCAAAAAGAGAGGCAAAGAGACACTTTAAGGAAAAGGGACCAGAGATGCAAACCTAGTATTTCCTTAACAAATCCTTAACGAAGCGTCCAAGAAGTACTAATCTGCAAGGATCGCTGCTGGTGAGATAAATACCAAGCCAAAACCAGGAGACTTCAATAGTACATATGCATTCCAGGGTGGATGCACTGGAAACTGCCAGCCACCCATCACCTGACTGCAAGCAACTATGAACACTGAGGGCTGCTAGACTGCTCCTAATACAGAGATGAGAGCCTGCCAATCAAAGCTCGCAGATGCAGATGCAATTCATGGAGGCTGGTTTATAGCTACAGACACTGCAGTAAAATTAATTTAATTCACAGACACTACAGAAAGAAGTTTAGTTTGATGGCAAGCAGAGCCCAACCAGCATCTCTGCTCTCTATGTGACACCTGGATACTACACAGGAAGGAAATGTTTATCTGTTCCAATTTAGAAGAGTAAGATGCAATCCTCATGTACTGACAAGTTATTAGTTCAGTCCTCATTGGAGCTGTATTTTGGTGAATGCACACAAGAACTTGCTGAACAAGCTGGAAGCTTCCACATGGAAGTTTAATTAACAATTTCCCACAAGATTTAAACCAAAAAAATGCATATCATGTCACAACTCATTTGGCTTAAATGAGACCAAGGCAGACAAAGGTCTCTCAGCAAAAGGCAGTGCGAGCTGGATGTGTCACAGCTCATCTGCCCTGACAGCAATTTCAGGAGGGATTCCCACCTGGAAATATATTTGGAGAAGGCTCTGAGAACAAGCTCTGCTTCAGCTGAAGGGAGTCCACTTCTTTGCTCAAATTCTTCCTGCTAAAACAAGTCACAGCCACAATCAAACTTTCTTACCTGTGTCAAACCCAAAACTTGGCACAATGTCCACGGTTCCGTGAAAGGCTCCAGCCCAAGCTGAGGTAGCGCTGGTGACAGCAGCAGGATCTGTCTTTGTCACGTCACACTGGGGAGCAGGAATCCTGGCTGCACGGACTGAAGGCATCAGCAGGGACCCATACCGGGGGTCGCGGTGCGAGCTGGGATGGTGATGGTGCATGTGTGGATGAGGGTGATGGCGATGCATGTACATGTCATGCATGTGTGCATACGAAGGGCTCACCTGAGATGCTAAAGGATAATGCCAAGATTCAGATGCAGCAGGGGGAGGAGGTGGGGCAGTCTGATGAAGGCCATGTCCTGGCCAGCTGCTGGGATCTGGTGTTGGGAAGGTGCCTGGTGCAGTAACAGGAAAATCGGGGTGTACTCCACTTAAGCATGGTGGAGGGGGAGGCTGATAAGAGCTGGTCCAAAATGAAGTTGGGAAACTGCTCCTTTGGCTTGAAATTGTTGAGCTTTCTGGCAGAGAGGAGAAAAATTAAGTATGACTGAAGCTGAACAACAAATTTAGTGACAAAAACCCTGCAGTGTTTTTCTGCTCTCTGAAATTTGTAACACTGAACTCAAGCTTCCTCAGTAATTACAGAATCACAGGACAGCTGAGGTAGGAGGGGACCTCTTTGTGATCATCTAGTCCAACCCCCCTGCTAGAGAGGGGTCACCGGAGCAGGCTGTCCAGGACCACGTCCATTCAGATTTTGCCTGAGATCAGAACTCCACAACCTCTCTGGACAATCTGTTCCAGTGCTTATCCACCCTCAACAACTTAAAAAAAAAAAGACAAGAAAGAAGAAAAAGAAATGTTTTCTTGTGTTCAGATGGAATTTTCTGTTTTCTAATTCATGCTTATTGCCTCTTGTCCTGTCAGCAGGCATTGCTGAGGAAAGCCTAGCTCCCCCATCTTCATTCCCTCCCATCAAGTATTTACACACATTGGTAAGATCCTCCCCAAGATGACTTTTCTTCGGGCTGAAGAGTTGCAGCTCTCTCAGGATCTTGATACAGGAATTATGAGGAGAGGCTAATTCCTGACTGAACCAGAACACATCATCTAGAAAGGCAGCTGTTGTGGTTGTAAATGCTTCCGAGGAGAGAGAACCAGGTCACACTGCAGAACAGGAGACATTTGGCTAAAGGAAGAATACCAGATCTTCTCAAACTAATTGCACACTTTGATGGGATAAAGATCGTAGCTAATGCATCTTATGTTACCCCCTTATAGAATATATCATATTGCTCTGTACACAATAGGATCAGATGAGGAGAAACATCCATGTAACAGAAAGAAGTTTCTGTCAGAAATAAAATTGCTTGTTACAGCTAGGGCTCAACTTATATTTAAGGATTCCAATATCTCCACATTATGAAATCACATTCTAAAAATTCCTCTTTTGAAGGAGCGGTTAGTGGTTTTTGATGTGTTGGAAAGTATTGGCATCTCCATTCTCACAATCCTCTTGCCAGATCATGTTTGAAAGTACTGCTTCATGCAATACATCTCAGTTAAAATAGGTGGTTTTTTTGGTCAAATATCGAAACATAAAAATACAGGACTTCACCTCTGATGAAAGAACAGTCATAAAAAGCCTACAGAGAAACAAAGCCAGTGAAGTTTAATATTTGACAAGGCGAAGAATCCTCTGTTCCTCACATAGCATTAAAAAAATTTTTATTTTTTTTTTTTTAAATGACCTTTTGTTACGCTTTGTTTAATAAGCAACTGGAACAATACTTGGGTGAAGACACCATTGAGAATGAACAGATTGTTTAAACGCTCCTGCCTCTAAACTTTGCTTACACAAAAATATTTTGGAAACAAAAACTGTGAAAGTGATTTCTGACTGCATCACTAGGACACTCATGTACCTGTTTTAAAATCCACTAAAATCACAGATATTTTTCCACATATCAGCTGGCTTTGGTTTAAGCAGTTTGTTGAGCCTGATTAACTTCCGATATTGGAAATAAACTTTGCAAACGCACTATGGGCAAAGACAGAGAATTCTCTTTGTGCCAAACTGCTTCAGAGGCTGCAAGCTTATCTAGCAAACTGTACTCCAACATGGCTTTCTTCAAAAGGTTGCTTTTCTTTTTAGCAATGTATTTCTATTGTAATTCATGCTAGAAGACTGGAGAGAAGCTTCAGCACCCCTCTGAAATTAGTATTGTTCCTTGTTTGTAAATTGTTCCTTGTTACAAGCGATTAGTCTGAGATGGAGACTACACATGGCTTACAATGTTGTCAGCAGAGCTGACAAAAAAAAAAAAGCAAAACCAAGCTTCTTCATGTCCAGTCTGTTGTTTTCCTCACTGCTTAACAGAGAGGTACATCTTGACAATGCATCGCTAGTATTCTGGAAAATTAACCACTGTAATTGAGAGGTTTTGGAAACTATCTGGTTGTTATCTGCACAGAAAAGCCCTAAATCCATACCATCTCACTTCAAAAAAAGCGCAGAAACCCACAAAGTATCTGCAGGACAACTTTAATACCAGGAGAGAGCACTGGATTTGCTATGAATTCATCCCAGATTGCATACTACCTTGGCTTCACCAATCATGCAGAAGGTCTAGGCCACGGAAAACACGTTTGCTCATCTCCATTTTTCAAACCTGTGCACATTTCCCAAAGCCATTACCACTGTCAGAAACTGTCATGGGCCAGCCCCTACTGAGACACCATGGAGTATAACTGCAGAGGCCAACCTCACTGGTCAAGGTCAAGTGATGTCACTGGAGATACAGGGTCCATCCAGGTTATATGAACATGCAAGAAAATGTCATCCACCCTGAGTTCTCACAGAGGATGCTACTAAGTATTAAGTGTGCAGCAAGCACATTAACAAGAACCATGTCAGTGCTGAACCACAACCCCTGACCACCACACATTTTCAGGGTTTTTGAAGACTGTCCTTTCTTTCCCACCTTTAAAACAGTGAGCACAACCAATCATCTTTGCAGATGCCATCATGTCAGATACCTGGCCTCTGTGGGACATGGCAATGGAGAAATAGCCATTTCAGCACTGTATTTGAGAAAGAAAAATTAATAATCTGAGTAGCTTCCATGGGCTTTCAGGAGGAGGGAAGGAGGTATTTAACAAAAATTGTCTGCCAAGAAAGATACTACAGTTACCACAATTTCCTACTCTAAGTACAGGGAGGCAGGGAGATGGCAACATCTCAGATACCACAAAGTGGTGACTAATGCAAATGTTCATGGTGGCTGGCCGACACGCACTGAAAACATGCCAAAGTGCACATGCTGTAAAGAAGACAATGTATGGAATTTTCTATAGTACAACATTACTTCTCAGTTGTAGTACAACATTACTTCTCAGTTAAGGCAGGAGGAAAAAAAAAAAAAAAAGAAAAAAAACCCCAACACTCTCAGTTAGGAACACACGCTGATAAAAATACCATTAAGGTAACATTACTTTCAAGGTATCATTAGTTTCACTACTAGCCCCTGCAAAAGATTTCAGGTAGCTACACCTACAATTGAATATTCAAAGTCCATGTTACCAGAGCCTGTTGTAGGGA